TTATATACAGTATATTATATTTGATTAATTAAAAAAAAACAAAATATAAAATAAAAATAACAATTTTTTTTTTTTATTTTTGCAATATTATAAAATAATATAATTTGTTTATTATCAAAATTTTATAATAATTTAGTTTTTTTTAATGTTATTATAAATAAAAAAAAAAACAAGAATAAAGAAATTGATTAATATTATTTAATATTATATAAACAATTGTATTAACTTAATATTTTATTTAAATATTGTTAACAGTTAAATTATATGAATCTAGAAATCATAAATTATTTAAACTTGCTTATATTTGTTAACAAATAGTAAGATAGCAATAAATTACGATAATATTAAAAATTATAGTTATTTGAATATTATAATTATGTAACAATAAATAACATTAAATAATCTAGATAAAATTATACAGTATATACAATTTACAATTTGAAAAAACAAGTGAACGTTTAGAAATAAATAAATGTATTTTTTAATTTCGAACTTTTGAAATAATTCATTTGATATTCGATTATCAATTATATATTATATATTAATACAATATATATCTATTTGTTAATTTATATTGGTTAATATTAAATGATATACAGTACAGTATATACGTAATTAATGTTATATATCAAATTGGATTATCCATTTTGAGACATCTTAATTTTATTTTGATACATATCAATATCTAATGATTAATGTTTGATGAATTTTGGTAATTATTTGTTGATGTATCAATATTCATCCATTTAAAAAATTTTCTAATATAGATCTCAAATTATTTTTATGAATTTTTATGATATATAAAATAAGGTTTAATAAAATATTATTGAAAAGATAATTTTAAAATTCGTGACTCACGATGTTTTTAAAAAACTTATGGATAAATGAATAAACCAATTAATTAATCCAATGCCAAATTTTACAAATATACAGTGTTTTTAAATGGATTATATAAATATTATCAGAAAATTTTTTTTTCAAACATGCGCTTAGTCTATGGAAATATTCAAAAGTTATTTATACTGCATCTTTAACAAAATCAATAATTATTTGTTTATTGATTAATTAATTAATTATTATTAAAATTCGAAAGTCTTTTCAAAACTTTAATATACTGCAATATGCAGTATAAAAAAATACAGTAAGTTTAACGTTATGAATTTTTACATTTGATTTGATGTGATTTCTGAAATGTAATTGCAGTAATCAACTCGAACAAATAAATAATTAATTGATATAACGGCGCGAACATTAATTAATTAATTATTGTCAATCTTACGTACAACCATTGGATATTCTAGTAACACTCGGTCAAGAAATTTTCCAAAACCTAGATTTTTTTTTTTAAAAAAAAAAGTTTAAAAAATTCCAAAATCGGAATCGGCAATTTTAAAAAAGGAGAATAAAGTTAAAAGTTCATACAGTATTAAAAATAAGGATAGGTGAAATTAAAAAGAATGACGCCGCAATTCTAAAAATTGAATAATGATAATGCCGAAGCATAAATATTTGTTTTTTTAATCGAGTTTATCGAATTCGATGCGCATTAAGAGATATATTAAAAAAATTATATTGCATGCAGAGTAAAGATTAACGCGTGACCGGTAATAAAATTTATATCACAATGAGTTTCATAACAAGCTTGTTTTTAAGATGTACAGAAATATATTTTCGAAAAAAATAACTAGAAATAGAACGAAGACAAATATTAACACAAATAGAAAGTGCAAATAGATATCTTTTTTTTTTCTGATTGAATCCATTGGTCATTAGAGTCATTAGTCATCATTTGTGGTGCACTGCGGTTATGGAGAACTTCACATACATAATTTAAAACTGCGGTTTTGTACATATTACGTACGCACGTAACATGTACAAAATTATCGATCATTATAATAATAATAATAATAAATTATTTATTATTATTATTATTAATGCATAACAAATACATAAGTCTCTCAGATTGGTGTCACATGTCTTCAATATGCAATTACTATAAGTTTTCGTAAACTTGCTAAAAATTCGTAAGCCTCCTTTTACTGTCATCCTTTTCCAACTCGTTTCGTTTTTTTCAGTCATTTTTTTCGCCGCAAAACGTTCACGACACCAACAAGATAACATGGCTTCGAGCAAAAAACCATGTCGAAACTGTATAGCGTTAAAAGAACAACTGGAACAAAAAGAAGCTATCATAGACAAGTACCAGAAAATCATCCAGTCTCAAAACGAGCTTCTCCACGATTTAACGCAGAAAAATCAATCGATATCAGGGTCATCAAATAGGCGAGACGTCAGAGACGTCGATCCGGGCATAACGTCCAGACGTCATGGAAAGCAAGGTTTGCGATTTTACTGTCGAGCGGTTAGTTATTCTAATTTCGGTTATATATCGTTACTTTTTCTTTATTGTAGCGCAAGTTAACAACTGTCGCGCTTTCGTCGGAGCCGTTACGGACGATATCGATAGAGAGTCGTTAAGACAGAGCCTCGAAGAAGCCTTCGGAAAGGTTGAGAGTATCGATATTATACCCTCCAAGGTATTCGTAACATAAAGACACCATATACGGTAATCGATTAATTACTAACTTGTATTTGCATAATTGCGCTGACAGAACTGTGCATTTGTCGATTTTACACCAATTTCGTACCACCAAGCTGTCAGTATTGGGGCCGTAATGTAAGATACCAATACATGCACTCCTAAGACGTCCACCGTTCAACACCACTAATCAAATGTAACATTGCAGGGTAAACGGTATCACTCTGAGTGTCGAAAGAGTTCGAAAACCCAAGCCACGAAGATAGATCGACTTTTTACTAAGCGGAAATAAACATTCATTTTTTTGCGGCGACTACATTATTACGGACGGGTGCGAAAATTTGGTAATCACGTAACATTTTTTTAGAATCAAACATGCACATTTTTTTTTTTATCTTCAAATCTGCTCGATGACGATTTTCGATTTTACGTTGCTTCGTAGTAATAGGTGTTTGATATTGCAGAGATGCATATCTTTTCTTTTCATTAATCGAACGATAAAAAAAAAATGAAAAAAAATGTAGCACATTAGCATAGTTCGAATTCTGCAAGTAACATCGTATATTATTCAAGTCGCGATCATTTTGATCTTTTTTCCCCTTGCCGCTTGTGACAATAATAAATCGGCCGTGAACGTAATTTGTTCGACTTTTATTTTCTTTGATAAGTGAGCCTTTTACATGATCTAGAATAATGCACCATAACCTGACGACATAAGTGCAAAAATCGATAGGTTGAAGGGATTTTCAGAGTCAAATTATTTAATCGAAAGCAATCTCCAAGGTAAATATGTTGAATTTTGTGGAAAGCATTTGAGGGGTCATGATGCAAGAAGGTATCTTTTAAAAGAAAAAAAGCTACATTTTAGAAAAGGAGGCTGATAATTTTTATATAATGAACAAAATAAGAACCAATCATATCTTCGCGATATTATCGAAATATGCTTATTTTGTTTTCCATTCACTTGATCTTTTTGAGAACTGTCTTTTTTTCTCTTCCACTTCCATTATTCGAACAATAACATTTTTTTTAAAAGAAAATTTCTCAGTAAATGGTGCAACCCTTGAGAATGCGTAGGTCGTTATCATCTTTATTGAGTAACTTCAAGTCGTCATTCTTTAAACTAGATAATGGTGAGTAACGGGGAATTGATTGGAGGATTTTTTTCCTGCGGATTCGAACTTTCTGATTCTCGGTTGCCTCTTTCATTTGAACAAATTAGAAGAATGCCGTCATTTTGCAATAAGCACAAAGATTCTCAGCGATAGCAGGACTCTCCCTCATCACGATAAATATAATTCCAGCATAGACACGCGTGCCGAATCAGATGGCAATGCCAATGTTGACATTCTTGCCTTACGTGCTCTAAGGAATCAGATCATCACGAAAAAACCACTTTCCAAAAACAAGCAAAAAGAACTATCAAGGAAATCCTTGCAATACGAAGCAATATTAAACTCATTTTCCGAATTTTATTCGCGACAGTATGGTAAAGAACGATGGAAATCTCTATTTGAAGCAATGTGTAAGCCTGCCAAACATGTTGCGATGGTAAATAATTTTGCCAGCTCTGAAAGCATTGAGAGATTCTTAAATTCCATAACCCAGGCTTCAATCGTGACATCAGACCACAATTCAATTCAAGATCAAAGCCCCAAGAAGGAAATCCATTTTGAAAAAATAAAATTTGTCGATATACCATGTTATTCAATTTCGGAGAGATTTTCACCACCATTTAAAGATGAGAAGGGAGTAATGACTTATTACCTTTTAGATGCTGCTTCGGTGATGGTCGTTAAGGCATTGGATGTGAAACCGACAGATAACATACTTGATTTGTGCGCTGCACCCGGTGGAAAATCCCTAGCAATTTTACAGCACCTATTGTTAAGTTCAAAGGTGAGAAGGACGCAGGATGTGAATGACACAGGTGACGGTGCACCTGATATCGGTCATCTCACTTCAAACGAACTCTCACCGACTCGACGCCGCCGACTTAAACAGGTGATCACGGACTATGTTCCATCCTCATATCAGCACAAGATAAAGATCGCTTCTGAGTTTCAGTCATTTTCTATGTCGGCCTACGATAAAATTCTTGTGGATGCGCCATGTTCATCAGAAAGACATTTGCTAAGTGATCCTACGGAATTTTCCAAGTGGAAAGTTTCGAGAACGAAGAATAATGCAAAGAAACAATATAAAATGTTGTTGGATGCAGTCAAGGGATTACACATAGGTGGTATTTTGGTCTATGCTACTTGTTCGATTAGTAAGCTTGAAAACGATGAAGTTGTGAAGAGATTATTGGAAAATAGCTGGGTACCATTAGAAGAGGTTGGACAAAATTTTCATTGGGAGATTGGCGAGAAAACAGAGAAAGGATGGATCGTATTACCAGATAAATGTGATGGTTGGGGGCCTTTGTATTTTTCTGTGTTGAAAAGGGTCGGAGATGGTGAGTTTAGAAGGAAGGAGTTGACGAAATTTAATAGAAAGGCTAAATATGAGACGACGAGGAATCTGCATGAAGACACGGATGAAGAATTCGATGATTATAACGCTGATACATTCGAGCATATACCTTAGGAGGCTAACATATGAACTTTTCGAAAGATCACCACGAATAATTTTTGAGACAATTTATTCATTCATAAAAAATAATATAATAAAGAGAAAAGAAAAATTTTTTACAAGAAAAAATAAATAATATACATGAAACTATGTAACATAAATGAATTATGGAATCACGTTCCCGATTTAAGTAAATCGCAAGGATCCTTTTCTCTTAACCGATGTTCGTACAAAAGCTATCACATTGTGATTGAAGTATCCTTTTGATATTTGCGTCTTTTCAATAATCTTTTGATTCTCTCTTCGTGATCATATCTAACCAAATCGTTCTGAACTTTGTATCTTTTGTTCATTCTGGACTTCTGCAAGACTTCGATTTGTCTCTCTTCGAGCCATTCATCTCCACTCACCGTGTCAGGTAACTCATGAAATTCCTTAATGGTTTGTATCACATCATCAATCAAATAATACTTCTTTCTTGGAACCGGAGGGGACTGAAGCGGCAATAGGCAAGATAAGATCTGATCGGGGACTTTCCATTCCTCGACCAAAACATCGTGGCTAATTTTTTTTAAACAATCAAGCAAGTTTAATTAATTAATTAATAATATTTTGGATTGCAGTCAATTTCATGAATTACCTGATGGATCTCAACTCCAAACATTCGTCACAACAGTAGGCCCCAAGCTCCCAGTGCGCGGATAGTCGGAATCTATCTTTTTCTCCACAATATCTACATCGTTGCGCTATGACCATCAACCAGATGTATTGTTGTTCACACATTTCTTCAGGTGGGGGAAAAGTTTGATGCGGAATATAACGAATTCTTGAAGTCTTCCAGATTTCTTGAGTGGTGGTAGATTTTGACCATAATAATGAACGATAACGTTTACACGTGGATGTTAGCGAGTAGAGATCCACGGGATGGAGGTAACTACAAATGTCGATTATAATTTCTGAAGGGAGTTTGACTGCCATTTTTTTAGCATACTTTTGGTTGCATTTTTTGATCAAGATTTTGATTTCCAATTATTGTATCTGTGAAATTTTATTTCCGGTTATTTAATTAAAACAAGCCAGCAATGTTTGGAATAAATGAATCTTTTCCAAATATAGTCCCAACATTAATAAATAATTCTGAGCTTAAAAATGTCAAAAAATCGTTGAATACGAAATTCGGATTTTTTATATAGAAGATTATAAAGCTGATAATCGTTAATTTTTATTCTTTGTGCGCTCCTACAGCCATTTATCCATCAATGTGCATTATTTTAACCAGGTGATGATGCACGTGGAAGATGTACAATCCCATGTTGAGAAAAGACGGACAAGAAGTATGGAAATTTTTTGGAGCAGCAAATTCTCTTTTAGGTATCGATTCTCTGGTAAAATAATAAAGCCGAACTTGAAAAAAAATTTTTTTTTCCTTTTTGAGCGAGGCAAAAAACAATCATAAAATAAGAAATATTTCGCCTGACCTTTACGTATTTGTCAACAACCTCCGGTAAAATAACGTTATGATGCATACAAATCCCGATATCAGCCAAGATAATGAATGCATAACGGGACACTTCAACAATGGAAATAATGAAACAAACCAATTCTTTCTGTATTAGATGTCCGATGAACAATGTCACTTCTTTTGGATTCAAGCAAATCATCTGATACGATAAACAATTAACCTCTGGATGATATCGGAATAATTGTAGGGAACTGAGTTGCGATTGTTTTCTAGAAATTCAAACATTTTTTGTGAGAAAGTAGGTGAGAGATCTAGAAACATAAAATAAGTGCTTCAGTGAACGTAAGTTCTATTACATCTATTTATGCTGTCAACTTTTATCGTTCTCGAATTTCGTAAAAATAAGAAGAGACAAGAAGGGAGTGGCTGTTTACAATCAAATGACTTCTTTTTTCAATTTACAGTCACCACAAGAAGTAACGCCTGATCAAAATTATATAGTGAACCATTATAGGAAAACTTATATTCTTCATAATTATGTGAGTTTTGTTAAGTTCGATATTTTATATGCATATAAATATTAATGTTTTCTTTTGTAATGACAAAAATTATCAAACATTGATTGATTTTAATAATTAAAAAAATGTTATTTTGATTTTTAACTGCTAACATACAAATTTTATTTCACTTTTTCATTAATCTAAATAACATTAGCTATTTAGCATTATTGATATAAACCTATCTATTTGATATTAACTTATATCAACAATTTTATTATAATAGATTATAATTAATTTATCTATGTAAGATTGTTAATATAATGACAATAAACCTTTATTTAAATAAGGTTTTACATTTAATATCTGTTTGTGATAAAAAAAAATTATATGAGTTAATGAAAATAATTTGTTATTGAATTTTTGAAGATAGTATTTATTTAAGAATTGAACATATATATGGGTAATTCTTTTTGAAGGCAGACAGGGATTTTTCTGACTTTATGATTGTACTCCTAGAATTTATATTGTATATGAGTAATTATTTTTGAAGGTGGACAGGGATTTTTCGGACACTAATTGTGCTCCTTAAATTACATTGTATATGTATTGTTTAAAGTAGGTGCTGAAAAAAACACATCTATCATTTTCATCGCTTTCAAAAATAATTATCCATATAAATAAGTCCGCTTCGCATATTTGAGCAAGATAATGTTAACGATAAAGTACCAAGGAGCACAAGAATTCGAAAAACATACGAAATTTCATCTGAAACATTGAGAAGGTAGAACAACCAAGAAGATATTGAGTATTAGAACACCTGATGGCAACAGGTTGTATTCCGTAGTGGATGTGGAAAAGATATTTGGAAACCAATGAAAAGAAAAAGATCTGTTACACATAAGTCAGTTCAGAAAAGCAAAAAGAAGATCTTGACAGGCAATGCGAGTACTTCAGGCAAAAATGTCCAGACCATGAACTCATCAAGGACATCAGATCAGGTCTCAACTGAAAACGCAAAGGTTTTACGTCCATTTTGGAACGAATGTATCAAAGAGATATCGAGTAGGTTGTGGTTATCCACAAGGACTGTTTCTTTAGTAAACATGATACAAAAATCGTGGTACTCAGTTCGGACATCAACGTTGATGATACTGAATCCGATGAGCTTGCCGAGGATCTATTATCAATCGTTACTATCTTTACAGCAAGACACAATGGACTCGGATCAGCTGAAAATCGAAAATGACGAAAAGAGATTGAAAACACGAAAGATACAGATTTATCCAACACCTGGAGAAAGAGAAAAGCTAATAAAGTGGATGGGAGCCGCAAGGTGGACATACAATAAAGTACTTAAGATGATGGGATCACTGACATGAGTGTCATACGAAGGCATTACCTAAACAATGAATGTTTCACAACTAAAGAACTTTT